GGGCTGTGGACATTCTTGCGACTTGTCTGTTGAATCTGATATTCATTATCTTTACGATTCATTCTTGATCGCGCATTCTCAGTTATCAAAAAAAAAACAAACAACAACTCACGCACATACTCACATACTCACATACATAAACGTTTCTCTATCCTACATTCAAAATGTCTGAGAAAAGAATGTCCAAATTGGCAGCGATAGACGATCCGACTAATCGTGAACCAAAAACGAAGAAATCGTTCTTTCATCGAAGAGTCGTTCGTCCAATCAAAAAGAACCCGCTCATAAGTGTCAGTGCTATATTAATTGCACTGTCGACTTTGCTGTTATCTGTATTATTGATCGGGGGAAGCGGATCAGTTTACCTGAGTAAATTTGTATTTGATGATCTGATAAAGGGTATTACGAAAAAGTCTTCAATCACTTTTACGTTGTATGGTCATTGTGTGGATGATAAATGCACCAAACCGTCAATGGTCTATCGATTTGACCAGAGTAAGTAGTAGAAAACATATTAAATTGTTTTTCCAATGATTTATGTTTTATTAATCGGTTTATCGATATTATCACAAACAGTGCCGACTTCATCCGAAATAATCAATATCACTTCTAGCAACCCGTTATCCTTTACCAAACGACTAGACATTGGCGGAGCGGTAAGCGGTGCAGGACAAGCGGCTTCCGATGCAGGACAGGCAGTTTCTAACGCGGGACAATCAGCCGCGAACAGCCCAGCAGGAGATGCGGCTAAAAACGGTATAGACGCGGCCGGACAAGCAGCATCAGACGCCGCCAACTCTGCTGCCGACATTGCGCAAAAGGCAGCGAAACTGTTGTCTTCAATGTTGGATGGTTTGAAGAATTTCCAACCAAAAAGAGCTATCAATGGAATAACCGGATTGTTCTCTGTTCCATACGTCGTCGCGCTCATCTGCAATGTTATTGCTCTCGTCTTGCTATTTTTCAGTCTACCATCTATCGCCACTCTATTCTTATTTGTTGCTGTATTCATGAACGCCCTTGCTCTAGTCTTTGATCTATTGTTATTTGTATGGGTTTTTGAATTGGTTGGACTGATACCAGGTATCGGCGATTCATTCACTGGCCCAGGCATTCGAATTGCAGAATGCAGCGCCGCATTCTTGGCCCTTGCTACGTTGCTACTGGGCGGTAGATTGTATTATATGTTATGCTGTGGTGGTGGATGCAAGAAAGGGATGAAGTTTGTCAAGAAACACGTAAAGAAAGGCGTAAAGAAATTGAGAAAGGAAAAAGAAAAGACGCCAGAGGAGCAGCATTGGGACCGGGTGTGATATTATCCATAGTATTAATAAATCGTATTGTATTTATATTTAATTGTGATTATAGTCAATAGAGCTTTGAAAATCCAAAATAAAATCCTGCTAGTGTCGAGGATGTAAAAATCCGGTAATTCCAGACAATATGAATCGAGACCATGTTGTAAAACTCACGTGTGTTGGCAATTATCTTTTTTTTTGTATATATTAATATAATATAGTGATTATGTACACCAGTTCACTTCATATATCGATGTGAATTCTAACAAGATTTCTTTTTATCAAAAAAAAAAAAAAGAGTGAACTTGTATGCATACAACAAATATAAAGAAAAGAGGGGGAAAAAGAAAAAAAAAAGAAAGAAAATAAACAAGGAAATTGTATAAACGAAGGAAAAAAAAAAAGAAACTATTACCACTGATCAACAGCTAAGATACAGATCTCTCCTACTAAGAATCAATCACCCCAAACTGCTCATCTCGTAGAATTTGAACTAAAGGAATTCATCTAGAGAATAAAAATGAGTTTTTTTAAAGAAAAAAAATTTTTTTCACAAAAAGAAACAAACTGTACAATAAAAAAAGAGAAGCAAATTATCTTACAAACAGGGAAAATAAGAGTAACTACACGCTCGGACATTTCACCAAATTGATTGACTCATCGACTAATAGACAGGACACCGAAATAATTATATAAAATATTCCAATACTGTTAATAATAATGACCGCCGACAAATGGCACAATAATAATTAAAAAAATTATAGCGTTGCTCTTGGGCAACAACGTCATTAACTACCCAAGAGACACACGCCCCCATCAGGACAAGACGTGGACATGCCATTATATTTTTGCAAGTATGTTCGGCTTGCCTTTTGATACCATTCAGCCACCTTTCACTCCAATTCCATGCTGACAAAACAACCACGTATCTAACCGATTAATACACTCCAATTTTTATACTCTATTAATTAGTCCACTTCATTAATGATAATATCCATTATGTCCAACTCGTCCATTCATCGGCGGTCCCAACGGTACGCCGCCACCACCCACTGGAACTTGGACATTACCTATATTCACGTGATGCGGATGTCCGTTAACATTATTTCCAACATATCCGGGATTCTGTCCCTGAGGACCATCATGCCTTAGAAAATTGCTACTCATCGGCGGCTGATTCATCATGAGAGAATTATTTGGCACATTGTGATCACCCGACTGCATATTTACCGAAGGCAGGCGGGTTGCTGGTTGCGGCGGTATGTGAGGTAAATAAGCCGCAGGCGCGGAAGATCGAGACACGGATGGATTTAACGACGGCGACTGAGGCATGGATGATGGGTGTGCGTGCGTTTTCGAAACAGAATCACGATATGGATGTGCGCCCGGCGGTGGTTGCGATGGTTGAGTCGGAGGACCTATTGGTTGTCCAGGTGAAGGCATATACTGTGTTGAATTTTGCTGAGGATAATGCATAGAATGCGATTGGTGAGATGCGCCTGGATGGTCATGTGAATATGTGTGATGATGGTGATGATGGTGATGATGATGTGATGGTGATGATGTGATGGATGATGTGATTGATGGTGGTGATGGTGATGATGATGATGCGGTTGAAGGGAAAGTGGTGACGTTTGACCTGGTTGGATTGGAGGAAGAGATGATGAATTACCGCGTAAAGTCGGTGATAGTGTTGGAGGGCGTGGTTGATCGTTCATCGGAGTGCGAATGTCGGGGAGCGAGTAATGACGATTAGGTGCTGGAGGTGGAGCGTTCACCGCATGGGGATGCGGTGGCGCTTGTTGCTGTACTGGCAACAGACCCGGAGAATGCGGATGTATTGAATGTCGTGCTTGTTGTGATTGAGGTTGTGATGGTGGCGGTTGTGGCATGACTGACGGAGCGTTAACAGACGCTGGCGGTGGCGGTGGCGGTGGTTGGCGATGATGGGGATGATAAACCTGACTGCGTGGATTGGAAATTATTGGTGTTGGTGACTCTGCATGTACTGGTGCTGATGATCGTCGATGTATTTGCTATTTGTTACGCATAAAAGTGGTAAGCACGTGTTATATAATAAAAATCAAGTCGCTATACTCGCAGAATTGTGGTTATACCTCGGATGGATGAGGATATCCTACTCCGTGATTCGACATTGAGTAGTTAGGATGATCGACTCGTGATCCATATATTCCAACTCCATTAGGTGTAATCATTTGGCCATCCGAGTCTGAAACCATGTGGTCATTGTTGATAAGTGGCGATGTACTATTGTGCATAACAGGTGGTCGAGGAGCGATTTGCTGCGCTTGTGGTAGCATTGAATCTTTTATTCGTTCTTGAGACTAGAATATGTGGTTGGAATATGCAGTTGACATATAACGTGTTAACGTATATTGACATTCACAGACACACCCCCATTGAAAAATGTAGATACCATTTGATTTGTGTATATCATGTATGTGATATATGCATGAGTGGCATTCCGCTTTAACTTAGGATCGCTCTTCTGTTTCGAACGGAATAGATCAGCACCATGATTCACCAGACGATGATATAAAAGTTAGGTGCGGATGGAGTAACATACCATTTCGTGATATTTCTTGGGGAAGATGTTTGTAAAGGCGCTAGGTTCTCTGGATCCCAAAAGTCCATTAGGCTGAGGGTGATGCATTTGAGTTTGATGTAAATGCGATTGATGCACATGTGATTGATGAAGTGAGTCTTGCTGTTCACATGTATGCATGCCTGTTAATAATGACAAACAAACCAAAAGTTATTTAACAACAAATAGAAACACTCACGTGATTACCAATACTAGGATATCCATTTTGCACTTGCGGCGGCGATTTCAATTGAGGTCTATTATCGTACGGACCATATTTAGATGGTTTTCCTGGTTCATTAAATGCCGAAGAGTTTTTTGGGACTGGTTGCGGAGGATGATATCTATTGGCGTGGGGCTCGCTCATGGGGCTGTTTGACAATCGACGACCATGTGTGTACTGTGGAGACCGTTCCCATTCAACTGCCAATTGAAAAGTTATAACAAATATATCGAATATAGACGGCTGAATAATGATTAATATATTTATTGTGCATACCTTGATGTGATCCTGAACCCACGACCGGTTTTCGATCTTCGGACGTTGCTGGATCCATCAATTCAGACAGTTTACCAGATACTTGATGTGTGTGGGGTGACATTTCATCTGTACGAAACATTTTCGCTCGTGCTAATCGAATGATATTGACGTGTTATTCTTATATATCGAAGATGAGCGACTATACATGTTTACACAAATCACTTACAATAGTCTGGTGTTTCTGGTGACGGTCGTTTTGATTGTTTTTGTGTGCTTTTCTGAGAGACTCTCGCACTCATTGATGGCATGGACGAACTTCCCTGATAATGATACGAGGGGAGGCGTCATGATGAGTCAACATGATATCAAATATCGATTGATCAAATCACGTCAATTTCATTGTAGCGTTTTTTCTTACCGACAGCCGTTTATGCGTTTTTCGTGATAAATTTTCACTTTCTACTCCATATTGAGGATAATCCATTGCGCCCTCATACGGATCATTTGGGTTATTATATCGAGACTCTTTCTTCTGGTTGATAAATAGAGAGTGACAAGAGTGCTTATTAGAAAATCCCTGTGGGAAGGCATGGACTCTTTGTTAACATGAAACTTACTATTGATGGCATCTGTTCTGTGCTAGGTGATTCGTTGCCTATAACATAACATAAGATTACAACTGTATTAGTATCTCTTTTTGACCCATTACAATCAAAATGCCAAGTGAATCGGTCGTGATGCGTGCATACCCAAGAGAGAGGCAATAGACATGGTATTATTTGGTCGCTGGACACGTGCAATAATGAATAGTGTTTAAAACATTTAGACAATAGTAAAAACGATTATAACATTAACGTTACGTTTAGAAAATGAACATTGAATTACAGGAGGCTCGATACACTTGTTAACGTTCGATTATAAATCAGGCCTTCACGTATATTTGTTGTTGTATACATACATTTGTTCTTTCTGCGTTCGAGAGCGAAGCAAGGACAGGGGCAACCAACTCGGCATCGCTCATTTTACGTTCACTTTCTCTCTGTTGATATTGAGAGGGGCTATTTTGGTTGCTTAGTAATATTAATATATTACTAGCTTCTGCGGCGGCCCTATCAACACCGTTTGATGTATAGGAAGGGTCTTGTTTTATGTGCTGAGATGGTTGCTGCTGTTGCTGTTGCAGTTGTTGCTGCTGCTGCTGCAGTTGTTGTTGTTGCTGCTGTTGCTGTTGCTGCTGCTGCTGCTGTTGCTGTTGTTGTTGCTGTTGTTGCTGCTGTTGTTGCTGTTGTTGCTGTTGCTGTTGGTGTCTAGGGGAAGAATAGTAGTGGTCTTGTCGTTGTGCTTGTGGAGTGCTTTGTATGGGGGGAGAATGGTGGTGAGTGTATTGAGGAGAGTGATGGTATTGTTGGTGGGACGCGTGGGAGGTGGAGTCGTTATTGAGAAGGTTGTTTATTGTAAGGCCAGAAGGAGGCGAGTCGTTGGAGTTGTCGTTCATGAGGTTTGCTATAGAGGGTTTTCGTGGGTTCATTGTTTGGTGGCTCGGTAGCTCGCTGAGAGTGGCGGTCGTTGACATTATCCTGGGTTGTTCCCAGCCAAGTAAACTTTTGGACTCTGCGTTTTTGCCTTCAGCTTTGTGTCCACGATAAACCAAAATATATGCCGTTGCACGACATCGAGTGTGAAAAGAAAATATGCGTTCGTTAAACTATCAGTATAAATTATTGATGCATAACACTGTTATAGTAGGTAAATATAAATAAATAATATATATATGAGTGTTTAATGTATGAATGTAAAACTGTAAATGTAATGTATGTAATGTATTGTATGTGTGTAATGTAGTGTATGTGGTGTATGTAATGTAGTGTATGTAGTGTATGTGGTGTATGTAATGTATGTAATGTGGTGTATGTGGTGGTGTATGTGGTGTAGTGTATGTGGTGTATGTAGTGTATGTAGTGTATGAATGTAAAACTATGAATGTATGTGTATGAATGTATGTATGTATGTATGTATGAATGTATGTACGTATGTATGTATATTTATAATCATGTATAATTTATATCCACCTACATTGATTTATTTATTTATGTATGTATATTTTATATCCATATGTATTCGTATTTGTATTAGATAAAGACAGACACATGTATTAAAGCGATAGTGGATTTTTATGAAAAACTTGTATAACTAGTATATAACACAATATATTATAATCATATTGTTTATATCACTGTTATGGTTATATTGGGATATTGGGATGTGTGGGATGTCGTTGAAGTTGGGTTAACGCAGCAAAAAGTGACCAATACTACTATTCGATATTATACTTTTCTCCATTAGCAGTAAAGAATGTGGTTGATTAAACGTCATATTTAATTGTAGAGAATAAGAATGTCAAAACAACCCGGTCTAAATAGATAGACATTTCTCATTATTGTAAGTGCTAAATATGTTATGTGGTTAAGCTTTGACACAAAGATGGCATATTATTTATGTCGTAGAAGTGTTTCATTCTCCCATTTTTACCAATTCACATGAACGTTCCCTACATTCATGAAAAGTAATACATTTGCATGTATACAGAGATGCGTTTGTCATAAATATTGATTATCATCTTGCATAAGATAATATTACGCATCACACACTCTCATGAGGCTAGTTTGTTAGGTGCGTGAGTTGGTTTGCAAAAAGTCATCGGTATTTGGTGGGTCATTTTTCCTTCTCTCCACAATGTCCAGTTGACAGTTGGGTTTTTTTCCCCTCTCCCTCTTTCATATGTAATATTGAGCTGTCTTTAATGTTACATCAAATCATTCAAACACATTGATAGTGTCGATCAGGGTGATAAGGATAAGAGCGATAACTACATATACACAGTCAATGACGAATAGTTTATCAAAGCATCGTGCTTGGACAGTTGGTAACAAAATAATTCGTGAAGCAAGTGTGTGTGCAGGGTATCATGCTTTGTGTGCGTGGTGGTGATTGCAAAATGTTCACATTGAGTTCACTGCCACCGGGGGCTGCACATACATAAAATGAACATGAACGTGATAGAATTGTTGGATAACAGTAATAAATATTAATATATCGGTATTTATGTTTATCTTGTCATCATTATTTATCCGAGTTCATCTGTGAATCATTATCTGAATTATCTATCTTTCATCAACAGGCAATAACTTGTTTTATTTATTTATTTATTATTTATTTATTATTTATTTATTAATTAATTATTTTATTTTACTATTTATCCATCCTCCATCTATATGCCGTTTGGCTTTTGCTTTTTACCCTTTTTCTCATTCTCCTACACTAAACTTCTCCCTTTATCAACGCCTAGCTGCTTGCCCTATTCCACATTTCATCCAACTGTGCAGTAGCTGTTGCACATTTGCATCGGCATGCAGTGGCACAGTTGGACGGTAAACAGTAAAATGAAAAACTTGATTTTCCGCTATCCCGACACAATATAGCAACAAATAATAAACAATAACCTAACACAGTCTACTCACAGCACAACGCAGCACCATACATACCACCATACATACCACCATACATACCACCATACATACCACCGTACATACCACACATTACACATACTAGATAATTTTGTTTAAGTAAAATATTAGGTAAATGCTTAAGTGATGTACAATATTTGACGAATCGATATGACAGATAAATCTTACCTATTCTATTACACGATTAGTTAGTTGACACGATCAATGATGATTTGTGTTCATGTTACAAATATATAACTGTTAATACAATAAATATACGCATACATATTGTATAAGCATATTCTGTATAATTTACACTTATTATTGTTAACATGTCGTACCTCCTGCTTGTACAAGCTGTCGATTGTCGAGCAGCAAATCTCTCCCCCCCCTTCTATAACCCAATTCACTGCTTACCATATACCACCCATCACCCCATCCAACATCAAATATCCTCGACAATCCTAAAGTAGTGCGATGTTATGCGAATGTGCAATGTACGTCTATTAGTGTATACTTGGTATTAATAACCTGGCAGCTGGTAGGATAAACGGGATTACGTGGCAGTTCAAAGAAAATAAATAATAAATATAAATAAATATGTAGGTGAATGAATGCGGTTATTCCATAACCAAGGGGTGTACTACAATCTTATTGTTGTGTAGCCCAACCCACTTGTTCTACGTTATCAGGGGAGATATACATAATGTTTTTTACGGGCTGTCTGCCGTAAATTACGTAATAGCATATCTGATAACCTTTTTTTTTTTTTTACTATTGTGTATATTTAGATTTGAGCGTTGATGCATGTCAACACGATAAACAGACTCTGCATATATGTATATATAAGCAATTTCTGATAATCCAATCGAATTGCTAGCGTTGTAACACGAGAACATGAGCAAATGATAACGATAGCAATCACTTTCAAACGAGCTATTGGGTATAGTCCGAGTAGGGTTTTGTAACATTTTCTTATCGATTAAAATCTGCAAGATTTGGTGGTGGTAACCGGCGCACCGACGTACCGACGTACCGACGTAACCGACCGATCAAATGAAATAATTTTGTTTTGATGTCGAGAATCCGGTTTATCTTTTTACACAATAAGTAAGGGTTTATAGTTAATACTTATATAAACAATGCATCATAATCCCGGTGCGTAACTTGATCACTAAACAGTTCCGGATAGATTTGATCATCTGCGCGCGCCCATGGTGACAATTAGCCATAATTGGGTGTGAGTCAGTTTGAAAAAAAAAAAAGACTTATCCACAGAATAATATCCGTTACGAGTTGAATTAGTATGGTATACTAATTAAGATGGCCAATCAGATTTGTGGTATCGATGACGCTGAAGGGGGTTTTTTCATACCCTGGATGTAGACAAACTCTATGGTAAATAAAGAAGCAAAGCAAGAAGGAAAGAAAAAGCTACGGTATCGTATAATCGGGTTATATTATTTATTGCAAGAATAAAAATAGAATAGCAAAACAATATGCAATGCACCTCCCATATATGCATATATAAAGTATGTTAAGTGATGATTATGTTGTTGCTATGGATGTGATTATTATTGTTGTTGTTTGCTGCTGCTTGCTGCTTACTGCTGGTGTTTGTTGTTGTTGTTGTGTTGTTGTGTTGTTGTGTGTTGTTGTGTTGTTGTTGTGTTGTGTTGTGTTTTCGTCGTCGTCGTCGCCGTCGTTGTTGTGTTGTTGCTATTATTATTGTTGTTATTGTTGTATTGTTGGTTAACATATTGTTATTAATAGTAGTTGCTGCAGTTGTTTTTGTTGTCACTCAATTTATAATCTCACACCCCTCATCCATTGAACAAGTTTCGCTTGTTCTTTATTGTTATAATCGTTTATTTGCCTATCCCCACTAATTTGGCATGTGTGAAATAAATATGTGTGTGCATATGCATCTGCACATAAATATTTACTACATGTAACAAAGTGCATATCACCGCATCAAATGAATGTACGCTAGTGTAATTCATATAAATATGGCGTATATATTGTCCTATTGTAAATAGTGTGAAATAGTGTGAATTTATTCCATAATGCATTTCCACATTAGTTAAATCTCTAACCATTCATCTCGATACACTTGTCGTCCCCTGATTATCCAATGATATTATAATATCGACGCCGCCAATCCGAGGGTGACAGAGCGAAAAAGAAAAAGGAATGAATGAGAGAATGAATGAAAGAATGAAAGAAAAACGATACAAAGAATCCAATATACAAAGTGTTGTATGTATG